TTTTTTTTTCTTGTTGTTGCTGTTGTTGGTAACAGGATCTTGAGGGGCAGGGTGGGGGTGGATCACGAAAAACAAAAGACTTACGGCGTCTGCCACGAGGTGTGCGGGCGGGAGGGCTGCCTGCAAGTGTCCACTCTTCAGCAGGGGGTCGGCGAGGCCTGCCACGCTGGCGTGTAAGGGGCTCGGGTGGAGAGGATGATGTGGGGTGGTAAGGTGGGCCGTGGATAGGAGCGGATGCCCGTGAGAAGCGGCAAAGGCCGAGGATGAAGGGTGGGCCGCGAAGGGCGAAGTCGTCAAAGTTTGGGTGTTCAGCGAGGGCGGGGTGGGCCCGGCAGCGGGCGCGGGCAATGGCAATACTGTACTTACGTCCGAGTGGGCGGGCACCGCGTAATTACCCTGGATGGTGTAGGCTTGCCCACCAGCCAGGATCACTGGCCCACCAACTTGGGGTTTGGGGCGATAAGGGATCGTGGCACCTTTGGGAGGGGACTGAAACAGAAAGAAACGCACCGCCGAGTGCGAATACACAAATTGAATAGCTCCATTACTACTTCGTGTACAGAGATCAGAAGATGATGCTTGGTTACTTTAGAACCAGTTTCACTGGAAAATAGCTTGTCCAACGAGACGAGGCAGTTACTACCAACTTGAACAAGTGCATGTGATGGATGCGTATCCGTCTGAAATGGGGATTATTCACTGGGTTCCAAATCGTTGTCGTCAAATAATGGTACCAGTTCATCCCTGAGGATCGACCAGTGACAATCGACACTGGCAGCCGGTAGCTGCAGATGTTGCAATCGAGCACGTGAAAGATTTCGTTCATGTCTACTGCCTGGTCTTGTTGCACAGACTATAGTTCGACTAATATCTTCGACTTGGTAGATCCGTTATGGTTCGTTCAACGAGTCGAGGACGAGTTAGATTCAAAGCAGCAGAGAATTTGGCAACAGATATCCTCAATAGCGTGTCCCAGTTCGGTTTAAATGCCACCACGTGCGTTTGTTTATTATAGTTGATGTATTGACTCGTTAAACGATCTGTAGATCAGTATCGAGGGGGATACAGTGGAATCTTATTTGTTAGACCATGTCGAGGAATCTTCCAGTTATCTCCCAAAGCAATCCTTATTTATTATAACTATTTCTCTCTTGAAAGTCCTGAGCTATCAATAGGATTTGATAAGTATTCAGTATCTTACAAACTGTTTGATGTCTACTTTAATTCAAACAGTATCATTCACATCATCTATCAAAATTTACATCATTTGTTTAAGTTATCACAAAAAAGTTCGTTTTTGCAGCAACATTATTATTGGTGCCAGAAATCCTGGATTAGACTTTAGCATTTAAGATCAAGACTTTCAAAGAGTTTTCGAAGATTTCACTGCTATACAGGATGTTACAAAATATATGGTATAGCTGTTGTATATTTATTTACAATAAATGCGATGGACATGTACTAAAATACATATGTACACGTATGAAACTTGTATTAAGGAATTAAGAATTTATATTAATAAATCCATATTAGATTTTATAGAGTTGAGACATGTACTAGTTTAGTAGATTTAATCTGTTGATTTAATGAAGAAAACAATGATCTTTTCAACTCCAAATAGTGATGTCTTAATGTTTAGAATCCATCTCCCACATATTTTGTAACATCTCATACGATTAGTACTCGAATTTATCTTTAT